CTGATGAGTCCAGGTTACCTTGATTCAGAGTGATGGGTGGATCAGGGTAAGAAGAGAGGCAGGAGATGTGATGAACCCATTATGCTTTGTGACTATTGTACAAGTCTGTGGGGGCAGTGCTATGATGTGGGGTTGCTGTAGTTGGTCAGGTCTAGGTTCAATAACAGTCTGTGCTCAAAGCATGAGGTCAGCTGACTACCTGGATATACTGAATGACCTGGTTATTCCATCAATGGATTGTTTTTTTTCCCTGATGGAATGGTTATATTCCAAGATGACAGTGCCAGGATTCATTGGGCTCTTATTGTGAAAGAGTGGTTCAGGGAGCATGAGACGATTGGCTCCAGAGTCCAGTGAGAATCTTTGGGATGTGCTGGAGAAGGCTTTGAGTAGTGGTCAGACTCAACCATCATCAATACAAGATCTTGGTGAAAAATTAACGCAACACTGGATGGAAACAAATCTTGTGGCATTGCAGAAGCTTAATGTGCAAACAGTGCCACAGCAAATGTGTGCCATAGTCAAAGCTAAAGGCGGTCCAATGAAATATTAGTGTGTGACCTTTTGTTTATTTATTTATTTTTTGGTGGCAACTTATATTTTTGTCCAGGCCGTGTATATTAATATTTTTGCTACATTTGATCTATTCTTCGCGCACCCTCTATCAGACAGCACGACCCACCCTCCTCTATTCTGATTGGGTAAAGCTTTGACTGTGGTTYTCTTTATTGGTTGAAACRTCAATCAGTTTAAACCCTGGTTGGGTTTAAGGAATTTTTATCCCTTTCATTTTTACAAAGGACAGACATCTTTCTCAGTGGAGAACTTTAATCTAGATCTTTTTACTTGGTTGTTCACCGGACAACTAAGAGGTGGGATTTGGTTGTCCGAAAGGAAAATAGGTGGTCTCGGACAACCGAAAGGCTATAATATATAATATATATTTTGCAAAAGGAAATATCAATTTTTATAAAAGATTGCTTTAATTCAAAAGGAAAGCTTGAGTCTCATGATTAATGTCTCTCTCTGGCCAGTCATGTGGTCTGCTAACATCAAATCTTCAGCTTGCCTTGGTTCACTTGGAACCTCTGATGGAACCTTGGAGTTGGAGCTGAAGCTGGTGGGATCACCCAATGGAAAGAGACTGCAGGCACACAGAGTCAACTCGAGTAGGACAAAAATTTAGCCCATGGGTAAAAGCCAAAAAATTAATTTACAATTTAGAACCAAAACTGATTTAACTCCATCCTTTCTCATCATTAGATGAYCTTTGTCTGAAACTTTGGCACAAACAGCAGCAGGCGATATGCATTCCTTCACAAAATGCTGGGCCTTTAAAAAGGGACATTTGCATAAAAAATAATGTACTGTATACAAATTCAGATACCCCCCAGTCTGTCAGGTTGCTTTCTTGCTGTTTCCCAGGCTGTAGTGAGGTGTGTTTACTGGAACTCTTTTTATTTATCGTTCTTGTCATACRGAACTGGACCAACAGTCTGATCTAGATGTGATAGTTCTGCTTGTCTGTCATGGCCTCTGTTCATACAAAGGGCCAGCCCCCACCCGCAGACACGCCACTGGTGGAATGCTGCGCCTGGTATTCTTTCAGAGCTCACAGACTGACAGCTTCTTTGGGCTGAAATATGATTCAGCCTCTGTCTAAACATGTGTTTCAGTGTGGGTGTGTTCAGGGCTAAAATAACAGTGGAAACACCAGATTCAGAAAAGCCCTCATTTGGCCTGCTTTGCATGGGTTTTAATGATCATACCTAACATTAAATAATTTACTAAAAATATTTTATTTTTTGTTTATTGAAGGTTAACAGCTTGAGCCTTACTGATTTCAGTGGGTTACAATGTTGGATTTCAAGCAGATGTTCTTTTTTGTTTTTAGGAACCCCAATGAAATATTTATAGAATGTGGTTTGGCAATGTATTGCTGTATTAAGCAAAGCCTTCTTTAAAAAATGTGTTTGAATGGCAGCATGCCAATCATACAGTTGATTTMAGTGTTTCCCCTACCATTACACAGGCGGGGCGGGCCCCTCCGCCAACGAGACGGCCCGCCCCTCTAAGAATTTCACGGCATGTAGTCATTTTTATTTAAATAAGGCCATATCAAGTCGAGAGCTATTTTTTGCGTCCCTCCATATCCACCTCTCGCCAAACTTGGGGAAAAAGATGGCGCAGAGCGAGGCTGAGCGCTGTGTGTGGTCCTCACAAAGATAGAAACACGTGTGTGTGATTAGACATGCAGCTCTGCTTTTAATCACGTAGCACCGATGCGACAGCTTTGCAAGCTACTTTTTCTTTCTTTAAATAAAATGCGACAGGTGAAGCCACAGCATGGTTACCTTATCAATAATTACTGCCTTTTTTCCTTTCTCTGTGGGTGGGGGGTCAGCTTCACTCAGCTGCAGGTGAACACCTTCTGCGTCTCCTGGACTATTTTCCACTGAGGTTTACATCGTATTTTATATTTATTATATTTCTAAAAGCACTTTGCAGCATTTCCCCCTGTGTGTTCACGTCACGAGCTCAACAAAACCACGACGGATCAGCTGACTGTTTTTAAAGCGAGGTGCAGCGAACATGTCCACCTGCAGCTCGGCTCCGACCAGCCCGGCCCGGGACTTAAAGTTCATACATGTCAACCCCTTCAGACGTTTAACATGTTTAATGAGTGTCAAAAATTCATAATTTGCGCAAAAAAAAATCAGTATTAATCACGCGGGTGGGGTGGAGGTCCGCAGACCGCAGCTGCACAGGGTGGTGGGGAGGAGGAGGAGGGTCTTTTAAAGACGTGTCTACATTTGACTTTTATTTTTTATAAAATCACAGAGTTCTCTGAGTCAGCTTCAGATGTTTGTAGGTTCAAAACATTTAGTCAGTATTTTTCTACTTTCGGCTACCATTTGCTGCTCCTTTTTARGTAGGTTTTACATGTAGCTTGTAGCTAGTAGCGTTTTTCTAATACTTTGAAGGTGTTGTGCTTTTTTAAAGGGGAACTATTATGGAAAATAATTTTTTGAGCTTTGATGCCATGTTAWAATGCCATTACTAGGGGTGTCCCGATCCAATATTGATAACTGATATCGGTCCGATWTCAGCCAAAAAATGAGTATCAGATTTTATCGGCCTGCATAAAATATCTCAGATAAAAGCGCTCCGATATAAGCAGTTCAATCCAGCAGTCCACTGACTCCGCTCCAGTGTTTCTATCCAGCAGCACTTGGATCCAGCATGCAGAGCCCACGTGATCACAACAACATGCTGCGCTAACAAAGTAGCCAGCGGTAGGAGCAATGTTGACAGTACTTTCTATTTAGTTTAAAGTTGATYAAATATCTGCAAATTTAAATCCAATACAGGATTACAAGATTCTAAACAAGGTTCTGGTGAATTAGATGAGTTAAACTTGTTTATATAGGGAACCATACTGACATTATTTTGATCAATTGTATTGATAAAATGTGAAAAAAAATTGTTAGCATTGTTTACCTGTGTTTTAATATATAATAATTATTATTAGTAAGTTAAACTGACGTTGCACATGAGCCTAGAATAATTGAAAGTACTTAGGGCAGGGGTGTCAAACTCATTTTCACGCAAGAGGAAGCTGAACAGGGTTTGTATCGTCTAAAACCAACTGTTTCATTGTSTAACCCCTGTACATCCATTAATTATTTTCTGAAAACTTCTATAATATTAATCAAATTGTTGAGATATTCTAGTAACAGAGATGTGCATGTCTGTATGTTCAAAAACATTGTTGTCTGTCTTTGCCTTTCAGCAGTGGGTAATAAAAAGATTTACCATAGTTACACATATGGCACACAGTGAAGTACAAAAACAAAAAAATCAGTTTCTTTTAAGTTTTTTAGAGCTCAGTGCATGTGTGTTTTTTGCTGCAGAATACGTTTAAGCTGTGTGTTTGTTTGAATGCTGTGCACATTCCTAGTGTTGAAAGTCGTTCACACTACAGTTTTGTGGTTTACGGCTGATTTAGCTTCTCGTCACATCACTTCAMTGTTAAGGATCAGGGAGCCCTGTCTTGACCTGGATTTGTAAGACACTGCAGCCCGCTATGACACAAAAATTTTAGTAAGGATAGAGAATTGCAAACATCTCTCTACAAAGTCAAATCTGGCTGGGAAAACCATGGTGCTGTGAAAATACTTTACGCATAAAGAAATACACAAAAATATGCAACACAAAGTTCACAAAATCTGAAATAATTTGAGATTTCTAAAAGTTTAAAAATCTGACTGATGCTATCTAATATAGTCTGCCTACAATTTATGAAACTAGTACTTATAGTTGATGAGGCATAGCTTGAGAATGCAGTGAGGTTAAATCTTTCTGATGCATGAGGTAAAGCTTTGCTGAGCACARTATTTATTTTACACCTCCCACAGACTCAAAATGATCATCACAGTAACAATGGTTCATAACTTCAGTAGGTCATTCAGTCATTTCCTGACAGAATACATAATCATAATTGATATTTTATAGTAGTGTCTTTAAGTATTTATATTTTTAGTCATTCGTTTAAAAAATCGTTAAAATGGCTTTCTCTTGCATTTCTAGTTTTAACTTCTCAGTTCACTTCTGCTMAACTGTTTTCTTTGTTTGGCTGACATTTCTCTACTCTAGTACTACTCTATGTATTATGTTATAGAGCTCGAGCTGTGATTTTCTGAATTGATTAATCTCCCGATCAAAGCAGACATTTGGTCTGTAATCCTGATCCTGTAGAGGTCAGTCACAGAGGATCATCTTTTACCCTTTGCACTGTAATGTGTGTTTAATACAATAGTGAAAAATCGCCCACCATATGCCATAAGAATACTTGACTCACCATGCAATAAATATATTTTCCTTGATATGCACAATGTTACAGTTTAATATAAAAMTTCTTCTCAAAAGTTAAAGCTGAAATATCAGCAGTATTGCATTATTTGTATTTTAGTTCATAAATATGATGGTTTGTCTTTCAGGCTCGAAACATCCAAACAGGAGAACTTGCTGCTGTCAAGATTATAAAACTAGAACCAGGTAAGAGTTTTTGTCCTATCACTTAACATTTGGTCATACATTTAAAAATGAAAATTTCAACTTTTATTTTGCGATCAAAGATTTGATTAAAACAGGTCAATATTTTTGCCCACATGTTCATTTGTTTGTAAAATTAACAAAGTATCTCATGAACGGGATGGATTTTAATGAAACTTTCAGAAAGTATTTTTGGGTAAACATCTAAAGCAGATTAACTTTTGGAATCAGCCCAGCCCAGCATAGCTGCAAGAGCTAACGATGTGAGCCAGGGGCGGACTGGGGAGGAAAAGTGGCCCGGGAGTTCCTGATACACTAATCATGTTTCCATCCWGTTGTAGAGTGAATTTTTATCGGACTTTTCAAAATTCGCAAAATATTAAATAAATAAAAATTCGAATCTAGACTGTTTCCATCTATTTTCCCTCTCGACTTGATGCGAATAAACAAGGCTACGCAATGTGTGATTACGTCAGACGAGGCTACGCAACGCGTGATTACTTTAGACGAGGCTACGCAACGCGTGATTACTTTAGACGAGGCTACGCAACGCGTGATTACGTCAGACTAGGCTACGCAACGCGTGATTACGTCAAGACGTCGGCGACAAGCTTTGCGGTAGTAAACAGGAAGTGAAACTTGCTAACTAGCTGAGGCTAATCATCTTGGGACAATGGAGCGATTTTTTTCGTGAATGCCTTGCTATTGGGCAAGTTGTAATTATTCTATTTATTCAGCAAGTACAGGCTATGTTTAACGCTGCCAGGAGACATAGGGAAATAAACGCAATGTTAAACTACGCAGCAGAAAGGCACGTGCAACTACGCCGGGGCGAGGCAGGAAAGCGGAAACAGCTGAACGTCACATGATGTAAATATGCGCTACGTCAGAATTTATTTGGCAAACGTGTTTCCATTTCCCGTTTTGCGCATTAACTACTTTGTGAATCATCCAAAAACCAGCTCAAGCGAGCGTAAAAACTTTTTAGCGAATTGAGGATTTTTTTTTCAAATTTTGCTGTTTCCATCCGACTTTTTTTTTCGCATTTTTACTGCAACACTTCTAAATGCGCATCAAAAAGCCTTGATGGAAACACTGTTACTGGCTCACTTTCAGCTTCTGAAGTTACTTGGACTTGATCTTGGTTTTGTTTAAAATAATGACATTCAAAGAGCAAGCATTTGTTTGAGACATACATTGTGATCCAGTGAAGCTGAGGTGCATGTTTTTGGACTGTGAAAAGAAACTGGAGGACCTGAAGAAAACCCACCCATGCACAGGGAGAACATGYAAACTCTGCCCAGGCTGGGATATGATTCAGCAACCTTCTTGCTGATAAACAACATCTCTACCAACTGCTGGTGAAGATTATCAGACATTCAGGTTATGATCAATTAAAAAAATAGGATTTCTATTGAGTTCTAATGTTATAGACCTTCATGAAGGCCTCTAAAGCTTAGAACTCCACACTACTCCAGGCAGTTTGAACTTAGAAGCCTCCCTGATGGGAAGCAAAATTTCTTCAGCTTTTGAATAAAAGTTCAATTGTTTTTTTTTTAGATAATTGGCTATAAAAATGATTGACATATGTAGCCCATCACATCGAAACAAGGATTAAGTCCAAAAGTTGTATATGGAGAAATAGGCAAATATAATGTTT